TAATAATAATAATAATAATAATAATAATAACAATAATAATAATAATAATAAGAAGAAGAAGAAGAAGAAGAAGAAGAAGAGAGGACACTTATTATTTCATATTTTTCAGATTAAAATATTCTTTAGATCATGGTCCAGTGTTATTTATTTTTTTGTAGACATAACACACGTCTTTTTGTCTCCTCCAGAGATTCACTGAGATGTCCTCTGCTTCAGTTCAAGGCCTGACTCCAAGGTAAGCAGAACAGTCAATAAAAAGATAAACTTTTGTGTACAAAACTGTATGGCACATTTTGCATTTAATTCTGTTTCGAAACACTCAAAATACGTTTGGTTTTTACATAGTAAATGTTTTGCTCTGGTGAATTCACAGAGCTGGTCTTTATAAATAATAAAAGAGGAATCATCTTTATTTTATCTGTTTATTAGATCAGGTCTGAGCAGAAATCTCCTAACATTCTCCGTAGAGATTTTTCACATGCATGTTTGTGATTGTAAAACGTTCAAGGATACGTGATTACAATACATATAATATATTCTACCTCACAACAGATACCGTGGACTCTTAAAGAAAAAAATCCTACCTGCTTTAAGAGAAATGGATGCATTCAAAATGACAGCATTTGTTTTCTTTGTGTTTCAGACAGGGCCTTGGCTCGAGCTTCCTGCCACCAGGAGAAGCAGCAGGGATTGGAGAGCTGCTCCAGCCAGACAGCTTGTACTCGAGCAGGGGACTCTACGCCGATGACTTACCCTCGTCTGCCAGACCACGTCCAGTGGGCGGGGCTGCAGGTACTTTACATGCACACGCGCGTGCTTTCAGACAAAAAAAAATCATCTCTAATGCTGCTGGCTCCTTATTTTTGCATTACAACTTTTATTTTATTTACTTTAATTTAAACAGGTAATCTCATTTGCAAGAGAGATCTGTAACATTTTTTGTAAAATGTGTTTTTGTGGGATCAAAATGGACAGTTTCAGTTCTTGCTGCAGTGTAGATTGAGCAGAATAGAAGAAAGCTTTTTTTTTTTCAAGTTCGGTGTGAACTGAGAGAACACTGGAAAATTTAAATCCTGGGAACGTAGGCTACGACTGTACAAGCTTTGTGACATCTTGGAATATAGATAGGGATGCAGCAGAGCGATGATAGATTAGTAAATAAGGTTATACCTGCTTTGTTGTCATTTTCAGTACAGTATCTTTACATGAAGAAGAGATAAAGCAAACGTACARCATAAAATATGATCATTCATGTTAGGCCTTTACATAATGGCTTAGCTGAACTAAATCCAGAAGTGATGCTGAAGCTTTTTATTATTTTTATTAACTGTTTGGTAGCAATAGCTATTTTGTTTAATCTAGTCAGTTATTCAGGTTTTAGTTAGGAGTTAACCAAATATGTGAACACAAGTCACTCATTTCATTAAAAATCCCTTTAATTTAGATACAAAACTCAACCAATAAACAGGTCAAACTTCAAGAGCTTTGTTTTTTCTCTCCTGAATTATTTATTGAGCTGATGTTTTGTCTCCCATCACGACCTACAGTAATAGAAATAGATTATGGCATTTAGCATATTGAGCGCAGTACTCTGCAAAGTGCTTTTTCGACTTGGTTGATTGCATCAAAGTACTGTATATTTGAGGTTTGCTGAGGATTTAGTGTCAGGTAAAATATCTCTGTTGCTATAAATGTGGATGTGGATGTGTGTGTGTGTGTGTGTGTTTGTAGGAGCCCAGCTTCATCATCTCACACAAGTGGGCTTGTCCAGCCGGCTGAATGGTTACCCAGCAGGAATCAGGGCGGCTCCGGGGCAGAATGGGGGCTTAGGCTGGAACCATTATCATGAAGACAATTTCTCCAGACCAGAAGCAGAAAAAGATGTAGTAAGTGAATCGCACATTTTATTAGTTTAGAATAAAGCTTATTATTTAAAATTTGGAAACCATTTATTTTTATTTAGCCTCTCCAATGCTAGCATCAGCCGATCCATGCTAGTCGCTAGCTTCTCCAATGCTAACACCAGCCGATCCATGCTAGTTGCTAGCCTCTCCAATGCTAACGCCAGCTGATCCATTCTAGTCGCTGGCCTCTACTATGCTAACGCCAGCCTATCCATGCTAGTCGCTAGCCTCTCCAATGCTAATGCCAGTTTATCCATGCTAGTCGCTAGCCTCTCCAATGCTAATGCCAGCCCATCCATGCTAGTCGCTAGCCTCTCCAGTGCTAACACCAGCCGATCCATGCTAGTCGCTAGCCTCTCCAGTGCTAACACCAGCCNGTGCTAACACCAGCCGATCCATGCTAGTCGCTAGCCTCTCCAGTGCTAACACCAGCCCATCCATGCTAGTCGCTAGCCTCTCCGGTGCTAACACCAGCCGATCCATGCTAGTCGCTAGCCTCTCCAGTGCTAACGCCAGCCGATCCATGCTAGTCACTAGCCTTTCCAGTGCTAACGCCAGCCGATCCATGCTATTCACTAGCCTCTCCAATGCTAATGCAAATGATTAGTTTCCTTCTCATTTGCCAGCGCCAGCCTATCATTGGCTTAGGAATAGATATAGCCTCCTGATAAGGATGTCATAATTTTGGCCCTCATACTGCACTGTAGTTCAGACCCCACCTTAATGTTTTATCTGTTGCTTCCAACAATCCAGGAACTGTTTTATTTTCATGGACTTTACTGTGAACACTGATTTTGTTCCATAATCTTTAGTAACAATGCTACTGTGGGGGGTCAGCGGGGTTAGGGGGTCATGACCCCCCACAATAATTTGATCCTGTCAATATAACCCCTCACCCCAATAAAATGACATAATTTGCTCTAACACAATAGAAATGAACTGGTTAAGTACACAGCTTAAACTCTSTTGTTGTCTTTATATGACTTTGACCTGATTTCAAAATTTATGATGTCATGTATGTACATTTGAAGGGTTTTAGTTACAGAGAAATACGATTTCTGACTGAATTAAAACAGAAAATATCAAAGATAAGAACAAKTTTGCCAGCTTAAAAGAATAGTTTTCAAAAGCTAGATAATTCCCAAATCATTCTTTGCTTCCTTTAATTCCTGGACTGCTCTGACCTTTGGTCCTCTATCTTCCAGAGGCACAAGTGTGGAACCCGGGAGCCCACAGCACCTCCTTCCCACTTGGACACTTCGGGGGTGGCCTATCTGACGTCTCCACAACCCCTCAACACATCCCCTCCCACACACTCCTCCGCATCCCTGATCAAGGCCATCAGAGAGGAGCTGTTGCGTCTGTCCCAGAAACAGGCGTCCGTGTCCAGCTACCACAGCTGAAGCCCCAGCTCTGAAGCTTCAGCTTCTAACCAGTCTGTTCACTGAATGTTCTGCCTAATCTGACAATACTTCCCATGGAAGTTCCTGAAGCTGCACAGCGGAGGATTTTTCCTGCTAAACTGCAGTGAAGAGGTGGCTCGTTGACGCTTGTAACTGATAAAACTCTCATTGTAGAAACGACGGAACGGTTGGGACAGAATTAGAGCAAAGTAGTGGAATTGTTCTGAAATGAGCATCAACRTGAGCAGTATACAGAGTTTCTCTTTTCATTCTGGATCAAAGTGCGWTAAATATGAGGTTTCACCACTATAGATCCACCTGTTTTTAGATTTCACTGTATTACTTCAGAAACAGTATTCTAAGACATGTTTGTCATTTTCAGTTGCCTTCACGAACACCTTCTGAGACTTGTGTCATTTGAAGAAATGTTTTAGTTTCATGACTTAAACTGCCATGGCTGTATTTTATTATTATTGTTTTTTTACTTTGTTGCAGGTCCTTAACTGCTTTTTTACCATCAGGTGCTCCTTCTGTTTTCTGTTTTACATTGACACTGTGATGTAGTTCACCTGACCGGATCTGCTGTTCGAGCTCAGTTACAGATCAATCAGATGGTCTAATGTCAACAATCGTAACTAATCTGTATTTGTTCCTGGATTACTGCAGTGTAACAGTGTTTGGGTTGTATTTTGTCATCTAATAACTTTAAGTGCATACTTGTTTTTTTTCAGGTTTAAAGTCCTGTATTGTATTAAGTTTTTTATTTATGTTTTRYAACTAACTGACAGGTACTCAAACGGGACTAAATGGCCTTGAATTAAACTTTTCAACTTAATCTTCAGGACAGGATTTACAAATAAATGACAGCGTGTGCTGTATATAGTGAGTATTTGGCTGTAATTTGATGACTACTGGCTCCAGCTCAGGTCGTTCGAAAAGCAGTTATTTGCAGGAAAGCCTGTAAGAAGACATTTTTTAAATATTGTGTGAAAAACAAAAGGAGAAACGAGAGAAACACCAGATTTGTGGGAAAAAAAGTTCTGTACTGGCTACGCCGCGTCAGCGTTATTATTTTATTTACAGTAACTCATTTTTGTGCTTGTTAAGTTGCTGTTTTGCCTCATGTAGTTACCTTGCACTTCAGTGTTTTTTTTTAGTCATGTACTTTTTAAAAATCACAAAAGAATGCATTTTTTTAAACATAGCAGTTTATTGGCATAAACTGTAATATTTTGGGGCCTAAATTGTTTATTTATTCAAGTGAAATAAAATTTTAAAATGTGAGTTTTAAAAGCGGAGCTTGACTATACGTTTACCCGACAGTGAGCCAGTGTTTGGTGCTTGTTTTTAAATGATTTTCTGCACACATGCTGTAGTCTGAAAATGTTGCCATGTCATGAGCTGCTCCTCTGTGACGTGCCTTTTGTGAGTTATCCACAGTGCAGTCAGTGCTGCRGGACAAATCCAATCAGCAAACAGTCCAAATATCAAAGATAGACTGTGGGTAATATTAAAATACTTTCTTTGTAATTAGGTAAAAGAAATGCAGTAACATCACAGTGGCGTTTTGGCTTCTGGTTGGTTACACCTCCATGTTCATGCKTTGTGTTATCAATCACACACTCTGCCTCCACCTCCTGGGTCTGTACTGTAACTACATTGTGTCCATCTGCAGTTTCTCATTTTGTTTTCTCCCTTTTAACCCTTTTTTTTTCTTCATTGTAAAAAAAAAAAAAACCTTGTTGGCTGGCCCAACCTTTCATTTAAATCTTGTTGCATGTTTAAATGTTGAATCTCTGTTGGTGTGCATGCTGTTTCAGACATCCTGAAATATACATATAAAAAAATAAGCTATCCGTGTCCTTATGTGTTCAAATCCAAATGACATTAGATTTGATCATATCAGGTTCATTGGAAGGCCAAACTCATGTCATCTCATGTCAGAACATAAATCTCAAGGTGACATGAATGTGTGATACCACAGCTGGCCAGCAGGTGATGTGCTGACACCTGCTGGTCAGCTGTGGTATCACACATAAATGTGTGATACCACAGCTGACCAGCAGGTGTCAGCACATCACAGGATGTGCTGTGGTCCTCTGAAGATGACGCAACAAGACTCTTAAAGGTGATGCTGGAGCTACTTTTCTAACTGAAATGTCAGCTTAAGATAAGTCATTTTGTTTTACTTTACTTTAGTGAGATGTTTTTACTCAATAGCTAAACTCAGCAAAGCAGTAGCTAAAACCTGAGTGCAACTAAACAGTAGCTAAATGCTAACATTTGCAAAACCATATAGATAAAAACTACCCCCAAACTACCTAAAATATTGTTTGGAACCGTGGCTAAAAGCTAAAATGTGCAAAGCAGTAGTAGCTAAAAACAATTGAACAGTAGCTTAATGCTAAAATTTGCAATACCAGATAGAAACTAGCTAAAAATGCTTTGACTGGAACCATGGTTAAAAGGTAAAATGAGCAAAGTGCAGTATACTTTACTAAATAGTAACTAAATGCTAAAATTGGCAAAACCATAGCTAAAAACTATCTAAAATATTTTTGTTTGGAACCATGGCTAAAAGCTAAAATTAGCCAAACAATAGCTAAAACCTGAATGCAACTAAACAGTAGCAAAATGCTAAAATTTGCGATGTCATAGCAAAAACATAACTGAAAACCTATTTTTATATCATGGCTAAAAGCTAAAATGAGTAAAACAGTAGCTAAAACCTAAATACAATTAACAAGTAGCTAAATGCTAAATTTTACAATACCATAGATAAAACTAGCTTAAAATGTTTTGATTGAAACCATAAAAGCTAAAATGATCAAAGTAGTAAATACATTCAAATACAACTAAACAGTAGCAAAATGCTAAAATTTGCAAAGGCCTAGCTAAAGTCAACCAGACCGTGGATAAATGCTAAAAGGAGCATATCTTTGCTGTGTTATAAAACTTTTGTATTCAACTTTTTAAATAAGGATAAATGTTTAAAAACTTGTAAAAGTTACAAACAAAGTCAGTTCACTATTCCTGATCAAGCTGAACATTCTTTTTTTTTTTCAAAGTTTTTTTATTTTTTTATTTTTTAGAATTTTTAACAAACCACAAACAGAAAACAAACTAACAAAAACACACACCCCTGAGAACCCTCACATCCCTCCCCACCTGTACCGGATCTACTAACAAAACATAAATRCATCTTGTATTCATATAWCAGACAATACAAGATACAGGTTTGTGTACAAAGAACCAATATTCGACCTTTACATAAAGTTATCTGCGGAAATTTTTTCCACGTAGGATAAAAATGGCTGCCAGATGTCAAAGAATTTGTTTACAGATCCCCTAACAGTATATCTAATCTTCTCTAAATGAATGTAAGACATAACTTCTCTTAACCAGTGACCATATACTGGAGGATGTGGATCCTTYCATCGAAGAAGAATAAGTCTTCTAGCCAGTAGAGAGCAGAAAGCTAACACCGTCCTCTGATGTTCACTGAGGGAAGCTTCTGCTGGAGCCACCCCAAAGAGAGAGATGAGTGGTGATGGATGAACAGTTCGTCCAAATGGTCCTGAAAAGGTATCAAAGATGCCTTGCCAGTATCCATGTAACTTTGGACAGGACCAGAATGTGTATAAAAGTGTGGCAGGAGATTGTTTACAGCGATCACACGTCTCCAAATCCTTTTTGAATTTACACAATCTGTCCTTAGACCAGTGTAGGCGATGTACTACCTTGAATTGAACTATAACATGTTTCACACATATTGAGGACGAATATATATTTTGAATAATTTTTTGCCAAACTGTGTCTGATATGGATTCCTCCAAGTCCATCTCCCACTTGTCCTTCAAAGAATCTAAATTGGAGTCAGAAAATGAGCTGAGCAGAGAATAAACTCTGCTCATGGAGCGTTTTGTTACAGACTTACACATCAGAATCTCATCTATAAGAGAAGTTGGGGGGCGYAGAGGAAAACATCCAGAGCTTGACATTACAAAATGTCTCAGTTGTAAATACCTGAAGAACTGTGACTTATGGATGTCAAATGTCTGTGCTAACTGTTCAAATGAGGCGAACTTATTGTCTATATAAAGATCATTTAGAGAAGTTATTCTCTTTAAACTCCAAGTAGTGAAAACAGAGTCCATTAGTGAAGGAGCAAACATATGGTTATTTGATACTGGAGCAGACAATAATAATTCTGTACTTTTAAACAACCTCCTGCACTGATTCCAGATTTTTATTGTGTGAGTACAACCGGATTAGAAGTATAAGTTGAGATGGGATGATTAAACGGTAACCGGGAGCAAAGTAAAGCAGAGAGAGAGCTCGCCRTRACTGATTTCCTCTCTAGATTTACCCAAGTAGGAACAGGRTTGTCCTCTTCAAGCTGAACATTCTGATACACATAAAATAAAATGGTAAAACTTTGCAGAAGCATATAATAATAAACTATAAACAGGAAGACCGTAAAATGCACTATACCATTGGTTTAAATAAAAGTTTGGCTTTTTTATRTTATTTTTGAGGACCAAAATCATTACCAGCTTTCCTCGTGTGTAGGAATTGTTTTAGTTCAATTTTTTTCACCAAGTACATTCCCAAAATTTTACCACAAGTTTTATGCCACAATATCTGTCAAGTATAAAATATTTACAACGCATCCCTGCAACTTCAAACWGCACACATAAACTGACTGATTACTTTTTGCATTCCAAACATTTTCTCACTGGTTTAACTACTGTCCCACTTGAAGAGAAGTTTTGTCAGTTTCTAGTCTGTCTCCTGTCCCCTGCAGAGTTTACGTGAGGTCTAAACCCCCTCACCCAGCTTCTGAAGGAATAATCCTGTCTGCGTGTTGTCCAGTCCGGCCYGACAGGAGCACACCCAAGATTTAATCTGGATCATGATGGTAATTACTGCCGGGRTGTCCAGCTTGTAAGAGGGTATTGTACGGCAAGGGAGGAGTCAGATCTGCAGTTCTACCCACTGACCTTGTGGGAAAACAGTGAGGGAGGGAAGGGAGGGGAGAAACACAAGCAGGCAGATCCAGGCATTAGCACACTGACAGAGTTTCAGCACTGCAGAGCTGCCTCTCTGTCTTCAGCCGCTCTCGTTTGCAATGTGTTTTGGTGAAAGACGGGCAGACGAGGAGGATCAGCGTGACAGAAATCCTTTGACGGATGAGGGAAAAAGAGGATTTCTTTCCCGTTCAGTGATTCCAGCGCAGATTTGAGAAGCTCTTGTGAGTAGAACTGCTATCAGTTTGCCATTCACTGCTGTGAGTTCTTGTGTGTGTGTTTGTGGCTTCATGTGTGGTTGTATAGAAGTCACAGCTCAGGAATTTCTACATGCAACGGAATACATTTCTCAATCACAATGCAACAGACAGTCTGTGTTTCACCTTGTTTTAGTTACCATGGTGTGAGCTTTCCCTGACAGCACTTGATGCAGTCTGTTATTTTTGTGCTGCGTGTGCAGCTGTCTCTCCAAGTGTGTGCGCGTTCCACACAAGGTGCTGTTCCTTTAACTGTGAGGAAAGATAGCATGAAAGAGAATTTTTGTAACAACTTACAATACTAATCAGTTTGTATGCATTTTGTTGTTGCTGTGGAAGAAWACGACCCTCCTTGTTTGCTATGATGTAACTCCCTCCCTGCTCCGGCGTCAGACCTGCTGCTGTTTACGTTCTGACTCAGTGGCAGCAGGTTTGGTTGCTGCAGCATCATCTGGCCAACACTGTTGTGCTACTAAAAGGTGCGTTACCCCCTTTCAGTTTGAGATTCTTACGAGTATATAAACCTCTCAGCTTGGTSACTTTGGCTCAACCTTTTCTGCCCTGCAGTTGGTTTTTATTTTCCATCGACGCCACCTCGTCTCCACCTTCTCCCATCATCACATCTCCGGTTCCCCCTCCGCTATCCATCACAGCCTAGCGTTGCCCTGTAATTGGGTCGTTGTCTCGTTCCGCCGTCTTGCGTTGGCGTCAGGGAACACAGCGGTACAGCAATAAGATGTTAGTTAGTTTGCATTTTGTGTAAGCTGAGGAGATCAACACAAACGCCAGCATCATCTGTAGGAAAGAGGAGCTGCTGTCTGGATTCAGCACGTGTTTTGTCAGGTCAGATAACGGCGCTCTTTTGTCCTCCTTTGCCACTGGACCGCCCGAGTCCTCAAGGTCAAAGAACCAGGTTATCKCCATCCCTCCTCTCTCCCCACCAGGCGCCACTGTACCAGAAGACAGTGTGATATTGTTTGCTCCACTGTGCTGAGTAGGAGGTGACCCTCATGTGATGCACGAGAGGGAGGTGAATAGCTGTCATTCATAAGCCAGCCCCCATTTGCTCAGCAGCAGCTGCCCCTTTCTGCTGACATCACTGACCCTGCACCCGTCAGCTGCTGCAGGTTGTCTTCTCCATCCCAAACGGCTCTCCTGTGGATGTTACAGTTGTTCACCTATTTTTAGTCACTTCGGCTGTTTTAAACACCATCCATATGAGAAGAAAACATTGTGTAGATTAGGAATGCGCGATATAAACGATATACGGTAGAAACGATATAAATTTGTCCTATGATAGAGATCTGTAGTCTACCGGCCAACCGCGCAATTGTTTTTGAAGATGTAACCAGCTGGAGTCAAAACAGAGGAAGCGGGAAGCAGCGTGGCTGAGAGCGCAAATGAGGAGGGAGAAAAAAACTTATCCGGACCTGTTTCGGGTGTGTGAAAATGAGCGCCAAACTGTTTACATATTTACGTGACGGCGCGTCCTCCGGTCGCATGCCCACCGACCACACTGCCTGCTGCGGGAGGAGCGTGCGCCGCGGCATGTGTGAAGGGCTCAACACACGGGAGGCGACGTCGCTCGCTCTCCATTCATTTCCACGCAGCGAGGCAACGGTCAGTGCAGGTGAAGTCAGTGCTCAGGTGAAGTCAGTGCTCAGGTGAAGTCAGTGCAGGTGAAGTCAGTGCTCAGGTGAAGTCAGTGCTCAGGTGAAGTCAGTGCTCAGGTGGGACGCACAAAAATCAGTCTGGACCTCGTTTCTCCTGCGGTCATAGCGCTGAAGTCAGTGCTCAGGTGGGACGCACAAAAATCAGTCTGGACCTCGTTTCTCCTGCGGTCATAGCGCGACGACGCACGGCCAAATGCGCGCGCACTCCAAATTGCGACCAAAATGATTGTCACCCCGCCGGAGCGCGCACAGATTAAACAGGTGGAGTGCAGAAAAAATAATCTGCAAAGTGTGTAGAAAGGAATAAATACAAACAATTTGTTTTACCACCTTAAAACGAAGCAGGTGATTCCAAACACAACATCCAATGAATGCAGATATCTATTACATTAGATCTCCCTTAAATTTAGATTATTGTGGAAGACTTTAAAGTGTCCCTTAAAAAAGGAGATTTTAAGGTCGAAATTTTTTTGCCTATACATATTTATTCCACTCAATTAATGTG